GATGGGTTCTCTGTATAGACTCAGAATTGCTCACCTTCTTTATCCCTCACTACCCTCTTTTTTTTTCTTTTTACGTGACATCTTTCTTAGGGAAGAGATTTTGTGATTACCAGATCTGTACCTAGTGTTTATGTGTGCCAGGCTGCAGGGATTTAGAAGATAATCAAAGGTCAGTCCCTATTGATGAATTGCTCATATCTAGTGGGAAGACAGATGCATAAACAACTTGCAGTGCAAGGTGATAAGCATGTTTGCAGAAGCATGTAAAAGTGTTGTGAGTGCACGGATGAGGTAGAGACAGGTTGACAGGTACTTAGATCCCATGTGGACAAGGGTAGGGATAGCATTCCAGAAAGAGAAGGCGTATTTCCAGAAACCAAAAACAGAAGCTGGAGCATAATATTTGGAAGAGTTAAAGGATCAGCTAGCTAAGATCAGCTGACTTCAGGACAGAAATGGCCTTGGTTGCTAAGCCTAAGATTTGGATTTTATCCTGTCCTTGTTCTCTGTCCTTAGACTGCATAACAGTCACTCAGAAAACTTGTTAAAATGCAGATTCCTGGGACACCTGAGTGGCACAGTCGGTTAAGTGTCCCGACTCTCCTTTTCAGCTGGGGTCGTGATCTCAGGTTCGTGAGATGGAGCCTCAAGTCGGGCTCCGTGCTCAGCGTGTAGTCTGCTTGAGATTCTCTCTCCTTTTCCCGCTGCCTCTCCTCATGCTCTCTCTCTCAAATAAATACATACATACATACATACATACATAAATCTTTAAAAGAAATGTAGATTCCTGGGCCTCACGACTAGCAACTCTGATCCAATGGTTCTGGATCCAAGGATTGTAATGTTAACAAGTGCCCCAGGTGATTGTGATGAAGGTAGACAGTGGATCATGCTTTGAAAAACTGCTAGAGGAGATAAGAAACTTCTGAAGCAGTGGGAGAGGCTGATGTGGTCCAGGGACATTGGCAGAATGCCTAAACTCAGGTAGGACAGGGTAGGAGGAGGAGATATACCATGAATATCACAGAGAAGAAGCCATCTCGGATGGAAGCTTCAAATGTAATGCCTGGCACCAGTTGGTGATTAATTAGTTGTGACTGGAGCGGAATTTTTCGGCAATGTCATTGCCGTCTGTAGTCAGACTTGGAAGAACAAATACATGAACGAATCTACTGCAATGTGAAATTGGCCACTGACTTTTGGAATTGAGGTTCTTCAAGGATGGAAACCCAAGCCAATGCTGTACTTGCAGGACAAGTCCCCACCAGCATGTGACAGAGTTCACACTCCCTTCTGTGCCTCCTCAGTCACCTTAGGTCAGGGACAAGCTGTGTGGGATAGCCAAATCCCACCAAATGAGTCTGGATCTGGGAATCCGTTTAGCTGGATCAAGATCATGTGGACGTTTATAGGATGTTTATAGGAGATGTCCTAAAGAATGTTTGCTTCTAAGCCCTGTGAATGAGGACTAGAGAGCTTTGGCAAAACTTGGATAAATATAACAAGAAGCTGTCAGATGTATGCTGCATTTCCAGACTGAGGAGAGCCTCGTGTTCACCCAGTCCTGTCTCAGCTCCAACTGACACAGAATGCAGAGCGTTAACAGAGACCTGGAGCAGGGCAGGCAGCTGAGCTGGGAATTGGCTTCGCACATACCTTGCTCAGAATTGGGCCAGAGGGGAACTCTGTCTTGTGGTAGAGCTGCGCCCATCTTTGCAGCCACTGTTGATCAGTGTTTTCATTGTTTTTTGAGGGGGGTGGATGCTCCTCCTTGACACAAACGTTCATTTGGGATTTAGATATTCTGTAGTCTGGAAGTGTAAAATGTTTTATGTTTAATGTTGAGTCAAAATGTTTCAGAAAATATTTCAGTTGAAAGGAGAAATCAGACCATGAAATTGTTTTCTTGCTGTATCCCAGTTACAACAAAGTTTGGCTTGAATCTTGGTCATAGGTCCTTCCTATCCTTGAGTGGGACATATTTTGGTAAACTAGAGAGAACACTAGAGAAGAGTGAAGTCTTATTACCTGAGGCTTCACCCTCACTCTGTTATTAACTACTAATGTGAACTTGAGCAAGTTGCTCCCCTCGTGGGCTCTGTGATAGGTTCATCCTCTGGGAAAAAGACTCTAAGACTCTGAGATTTGCATGCATGGGGTGAATGGGGAGTAGTCTCAGGAATAATGCTTATGAGAGGTAAGGGATAGGCGAGAACAGAGAGAGAATTTTAATTGTAATGCAGTCAAACCTTCAGAGTGGTCCACTTCGAGGCAAGGGGGACAGCTTTTAGATCTACCCCCTCCCCACCTCATCAACCATTGAATGTGGGCTCTCCCCTAGTAAGTGTGTGACCAGGGGGAAAGGCAGTTCTTTTCCAAGGAGAGTGATTTTTGGAGAGGGAGTCAGCTGCTCAGCTTCACAGCTGCCTTGCTTCTCAAGGTGGGATCTGGACAGCGCACCACAGTGTCTTCTTCAGTTCCTGTTCCATATAATGTTTCCTATATTATTGTTTCTTGATAATGTGACTGGGTTGTGCCAGATAACATCTGTATCACTTCTCTATTGCCACAATAAGGCTTTGTAAAGAAGACCTGCACACTTCAGTGGCATATAATTATTAAACATTCAGTCACATGTCTGTAGGGTTCTGCTCATCTGGGCAGGGCTTGGTGAGCCTCAGTGAGGCTGGTCCATGTATTTGCAGTCCTGCTGATCTTAGTTGGGCTTGAACACGTTAGTGGTCAACTGGTGTTGGCTGATCTGGATTGGCCCTGTCTGGGCTGGGGCCAGGGTGACTTGGTGTATCTTAGCTTTCAGAAGGCTAGTGTGGATGTTGTTCTCATGGCCGTGGTAGAGGCAAGAGCAATCCCAAATGTACAGGCCCAATTCTAACCTCTGTCTGTGTCACTTGTGCTGACATCAGCTAGCATTGGCCAAAGCAAGTTGTATAGATGAGCTCAGAATCAAGGGGCAGGATAGTTGAACTCATTCACCTTAATGAGAGCTGCAGTTACTGAGCAAAGAGTCTAGGTATAGAGAGGGGTAATGAGTCGGGGCCATCTTTGAAATCTACTACAATCTCCTTCCATCTCAGCCATTCAGTGGTTTTTGTAACTTTTTCTGTTAGGTAGATGTAATGGTTTAATTTTGATTCTAATTAGGAACTTGAACTCCATCCAAGTTACTTATCTCTGAATCCTGGGCCCAGCATAGACTTAGCTCAGGACACTGGCAACAAATATTTTGTTGAATGAACGACTGTATGTTGGGAATTAAAAATGCTAATCCTTAGGTTCCAGATAAAATCTTGTTTGTAAAATTTTAGAAACATCAGTTGTTAAAAACATTTTTTAAATCAGTTTTTAATGATTTACCTTAGTATTATTATTATTAATTGTAAAGTATGCTTCTTGTTAAACTTTAAATGCTATAGACGTGTGTGAAATAAACAATGAGAGCTTCCACCTCACCTTTTCCATTCCCTAGAGGCAGCCATTGTTACCAGCTAGATGTCCTTCTGGACATTCTCTGGCGTCTATTCCTGTGCAGATGTGTTTTCTTTTGCTTTATTTCCTTTTAACCAAGAGTAACGTTTACTATACATTTTCTTCAGCAACTTGCTTTTTTTGCTCAATGAGACATATTAAACAAAAACCAACATGGATCTGGCAATTCTTTGTCATTACTTGTAATTAATTAATGGCAGCGAAAAATATACATTTAAAAAATAGTTCATATGCATGAAGCATGTCATTTTTCATTTTGCAGACAGTGCTTGGTCTTCATATAAGCTATCAGCTCCCATGTCTTTGAACCCCCTGCATGAAGAACTGTCACAATTTGGGGGAGGAAAATAGATTCTTTCTCCTCATGTTTTGATCTGCTTTGGGGGAAATCAAGTTCCTTGTTTGTATACTTTCAATGATCCTAATCAAATAAACCAAAGTAATAGTTAAATTGTAATCATCCCCTTTTTATCCATAAAAGAGCAATGGTCTATGGTACATAAGCTCTATAACCTCTGTATCTGCAAAACTGTGGTTGTTTCTACTATAATATTATTCATGGGTAGCAATGTGGATAGTAACTGATAGACTCTTTTCACTAATATATTATCACATATTTGCTAACTTTAATTTTTTTTCACTTTTTTTTAAGTACAGGGGATTATTTTGCAGAGAAATATTTTAGTAAGGTTGAGGGAAACACAGTGACATGTAAGGGAGGGAAGTAGCATTATCATCTCAGAAATGTTAAAATGATTTCCAGAGACATAGGAGTTGCCATGTTCATACTTCCCATCAACCTAGTGACCTCTTCAAGAATGATTTCAAATTATAGTAATTTATTTTTAGGGCTTGATGTTTTAAAAAATACATAATGGTTAAAAACTTCCGTATATTTAGTAACACTTGGCTTGAAATTGTCTTCACTCACAACATTTGTATTATGAAAAGCCCTACATTTCTGGAGCTAAAATGAACCTGTGGCCAGGCTTGAACCTAGGCTTATTTTTCTCTATAGCAATGACATAGTTCACTGAGTCCCAAGGTGATTCTCTAATAAAAGTGAGGAAAAGACACAGATTTTAGACTCAACTAAATAAATAACTAAAACTAAAATAAATTTTAAATCTCCTTGGTGAGGTGGGGTGATGATTCATTCCCAGGGTAGAATTGGCGGTCTTCTTTCAGGGATGACTCAGCTGCCTTCACTCTCACTTTGCTCATTCTGATTCACTACGACTAAGGTAGGTAGAGGTGGGGCTTGATCAAGTCAGTCAGAGTACTGACTTTCAAAATTAGTTTATTCATTTATTTCTATATTTACTTATTCACTTGGGAAACTTTTGTTCAAACAAAATGTTAGTTGAATGTGTGTAATTAATGAAAGCTGTTCTAATTAACTCAGGATGGAGACCCAGAGCCTTCACCCATTTGCTTCCCACTTATTTCTGTCTTGTCGCACCTATATTTATTCACATTTCACTTGCCTTAAGATAATGAAAAACCTATGCGAGTGGTGGATGATGAGGACTTGGTAGACCAGCATCTCATTGGTGAGCTGAGGAAAGAGTATGGAATGACCTATAATGACTTCTTCATGGTGCTCACAGATGTGGACCTTAGAGTCAAGGTATGGGTTTCTGTTTTAGATGATACAGTTCTATTCCTTTGAATACAACTTGGAATTTTTTGCCAATGAATCAATTAGACATATGAATAGGCACAGATTATTTTATAAGTGGAAAGGTTTGGAATGGTTCAGATATTCCACATCGCCCTATAGAATTTGTGCCTAGAAATGAAGTATATGGAAAGAGCTGGGTTGGATGGCCTCCTGTGGCCCAGCTGTTTGACTCAGACAAAATTCAGTGTCATGCATTCATCAGACACTGGTTGAATAGCTATGATGTGCCAAGCTCAAAGGATAAAAGGTGAAGAGTATTTGGCTTCTTCCTTCAGGAAAGCCAGATTTAACATGACCTACTCTGGAAGGGCCTGGAAGTTTACCTCCTGATCCAACATGGACAAGACAGCAGGGTTTTATACCTACTTTCTTCCTATGCTTAGGGACAGAAGTTCTGACCCATGAAAAACTGTGCCATGTAGTAACACTAATAATAATTATAATAGTACTATCAAAAATATCTAACTTTATTAAGTGTTTTCTGCATGCCAGGCACTCACGTCAACCGTTTACAATCCCTATCTCAAACCTCTGAGATAAATAACAAGTATTACCTTTATTTTACAGAAGAACAAAGAGAGACCCAGAATGATTAAGTAACTTGCCCAAGTTCACCCAATTAGCATTGGGCTTCATACCCATGCAGGCGGGCTCCAGCTTGCATGTCTTAACTATTTGGTACACCAATAGCATACCAGGCTTATGTGAAAATCATCAGGAAAAAGGTCACCTGGACTAACGGAATAGGAATAGCTGATCCAACCTGCAGTATTCTTCTGGATCTGGAGAGAGGACCTTTTATTAATCCATTCCTCACTTGTGTTGCCCCACCTCTAATGTGAGGGGCTGGACTAGATGGGCCCAAAGGTCTCTGCCAGCTTTCACATTTCACATTCCCACTGGGGGCAGAACTCCAAGCTATGTCCAGACTTCTCTCTAGTTTATGCTGCCTATGCTCATCCAGCCCCCAAATCCATCTTAGGTTGCTGCTGTAAGTCCAGACAGCTGTGATCCAGGAAACTGAATTGCATTATCTTGAAGCTGGATTCCAACTTTTTTCTGAGAATACGTATAGAAACATGACCTAATTTTAAGTGGCGCTTGCTCAATAAAACAGTCTCTGGGAATCACAAAGGGTTTATGTGGATTCCTGATGACCACAGAACAGTCCTCCCTCTGGTGGAAAATTACCCTTATTGTGCAAGTCAGATACTCTTAACAGGTTATTCCATTCCTGTGTTGTTTATAGTATTTCTCACCTTCTCTTCAGTGGTGTAGTGAACAGGAACCAGTTTAGTCCTAGAAATAGGGAAGCGAACCTAAAATATGTGTGATGAGGAAGGCACGGACCCTTTCCACTAAAAGGTACGCAAAAAATTCTCATAAAAGGTAAGGGACAGTTGTTTCATGGATTCTGAACCTCAAAACATCAACAGAGGTACTTTTGCAAAAGAGAGTTTAGTTTATAAATCAATGAACCCTCCAGGCTCTGATTTCTCCAGTGCTCTCTTGAATTCTCCCAGGCTTTCTATCCTCCAAATAGAGGGAGGAAACACCCTTATACACTATATGCTTTCTATTCGTTCTTAAACAGCAATACTATGAAGTGCCTATATCAATGAAGTCTGTGTTCGATTTGATCGATACATTCCAGTCCCGAATCAAAGACATGGAAAAGCAGAAGAAGGAGGGCATTGTTTGCAAGGAAGACAAGAAGCAGTCATTGGAGAACTTCCTATCCAGGTACCCCACCTTTGAAGTCCCTGAGGAGGCGGGTGGGAAGGTGTTCTGGGTGAGCTAATACAAAGGCTAAGGAAACACAAAGTAGACCTGTGTGCAGACCTTCCCTGGTGGAAGTTCTGTCTGCTTCATAGCCCTCTGGCCACTGGGCTTAGTCTTTTGAAAGGGCTCTGGTCGCAAGGTTGACTGGGGTCAGCTCCAAGATTGAATATTGATTTGGTGGTTTTGGATAGGTCTTTTCTCTCTTTATGGCTCCTATTTTGGCACAGAATAGAGAATTCTGACCTGGGAGGGTTCATTTATTCCATCAGTGAATTTAGAGGGCTTTGTATACAGCATTTTTATTTTACATATTTATTTATTAGGCCCCTCTGGTTCCAAACAGGATTTAGAACATTCTGCTTGATTTTCCACTTCCTTCTAACTGTGCAGAAAACAACAAAAGCCCCCTCTAGGACCTCAAAAGAAGAAATCCTCTTGACCCAGCTCCCTGATTCCCTGGGGAGTAGGGTTTATTGAAAGCCATTGTAGGAAAATTTCAATAAATACACAGAGAAGATTGATTTAAACAATTGCTCCACTTTCTCCCTTCTCCATCCCTTCCCCCATGTTGGATAAAAATTCTACAGGGCCTTTGGGGCCCTAGGAGGTACAAAGCGGCAGAAATTCCACTGACAACAAATAAACGCACAGAGATCTCAGCGTAACATCTCCCCTCCGCACCCCCCACACCTAGCTGGACTGTGTGGCTAAGGGGCTCCAGAAATGGAGCAGCATTTACTTGGAGACTCATTAACTTGGAAGCTGTTAACTTCTTACTTGTGTTTATAGAGCATATTCTCCATATGTGAGTTGGAGAATCAAGGATTCTATGATTAGTAGATGAATAGATCATCTGAATTCCTCTAGATTCGGGAGGCTTGGGTCTCTTAAAAGAGAACTTCACAATGTGAAAAGAGCATAGGACTTATTGTTCATCCAAATTTGGGGTCTGCAATTTACTAGCTATGTTGATTTCTCTATGGTTCTCAATTAACCTGCCTTAAAAATATCACCCATAATGGAGAATATTAACAAGTAGCCCTGACTACATCCCAGGGTTGCTGGGATCACTTTTTTTTTTTTTTTTGATAGAGTGTGTGCACGGTAGCAGGGGGAGGGGCAGAGGGAAAGGGTGGGAGAAAATCTTAAGCAGGCTCTATGCCCAGCACAGAGCCCAACAGGGGGCTCCATCTCACGACCCTGAGATCATGACCTGAACCAAAATAGGCGGACACCTAACTGAGCCACCCAGGTGTCCCAAGAGATCACTTTTTGTATGCTTGCCTCTGTGCCAAACACTTCATCTTCCCTCCTGAGTTTAATCTTTACAACAATCCTAGGATCTGAATACTGTAAGTATTATTGTGTTGCAGATGGGACAACTGAGGCTAATGGAGATTAAATAACTGTCAACACTGAGTTAGTGTCAGCTCTAGGACTCGGTGGCCCCAGGAGAACTGAGCTCCCAAAGTCCACATTCTTACCTAATACTCCTTTTGAAAATATAATGTGAATTATTTTTAGTCTTGGAACCAGAAGCCCTGGGTTTGAAGCAAAGAGAGATATCCCTAAAACCACAGGATTTCAGAGCTGAAAGGAACCTGAGGTTCTTCCTTCATTCAAATTTTCAGTGCAGTGCAAGCATCTGAATAGAGATGGAAGGGGCATGTCTTTAGAAGGATGTGAGGCTCCACTCAGTCTTCAGGCCACTCTCTTGGCTGAGAAAGGGCTCTGCCACTCCACTGGACAGATGGCTCTTTGTCTAGTCTTGGGTGCACTGAAACATCAACTTCTGGTCCAAGGTCATCCCTCTCGATGGCACTGATGTAGAAGATTGATGATAAAAGCTTTCTGGTTCCCTTGAGATGTTCTTTTTCCTTTTCCTTCCTTCCCCTGCTCTCCCCTCCCCTCCCTCGGACTGCCTGCTTGCCTTCCTTCCTTCTTTCCTTCCCTCTGTCCGTCCTTCCTTCCTTCCTTCCTTCCTTCCTTCCTTCCTTCCTTCCTCCCTTCCTTCCTTCCTTCCTTCTGGCAGATAAGATTCTTTAGAAGTTTACTTTTGATTTTCACAATTAGTGTTAAATATATCCAAGTTATAAATTTAAGACCGTAGCTCTCAAACTTTTAAGTTTGGCTTTTAAATCTTATTATTCTATTTATAACCTAGCAAATTTTAGTTATCACTTTTAATGGGCTTTGAATAATGTTTGATCTTGCTTGCAAACTCAATAATTAAACAATTTTATTATTTCAAACATTTTACATTTAATATGTATTTTTGAATTGTTTGAAATAAACGAATAAAACCTTGCTGAGTACTTAAATGATCCAGTAATCGTATAAATACAGTGAATCTAAAGTTTTCTCAGGGGGCACCTGGGTGGCTCAGTCGTTAAAGTATCTGCCTTCAGCTCAGGTCATGATCCCGGGATCCTGGGATCGAGCCTCGCAGCGGGCTCCCTGCTCTGCGGGAAGCCTGCTTCTCCCTCTCCCACTCCCCTTTCTTGTGTTCCCTCTCTCGCTGTGTCTCTCTCTGTCAAATAAATAAATAAAATCTTAAAAAAATAAAAATAAAAAAAATAAAGTCTTCTCAGATGTTCTAGTACCTGCACACGATGTAAAACCACACATCTAAGCCAATTACTCAATTACACTTTATAATTTAAAGTTTCAAGGTTGTCATTTTATTAAGCCAAATTCTCTTAAGTTTCATGAGAACATAAATTATGTATATAAAGAAGACCAGGATCCTTCTTAGAAATATATATTATCACTATGATTCTTTGAAAACTTTCTCTTCTTAGTTCTAAATCTTCCAGGACGAAAAGATGCATACCTGCTGAACCAACCCTGTAAACTCAGGTTGCCCACGCTGTACAGCAGTTACCACCCAGTTCATTGTTGTTATTTATAGCCAAGGATTTGGGCCAGCTCTGGGACCTGCAGCTACAGACATTCCGAGAGATTTTTCTTACCATCCCCAGGCAGGCTGTCTTTTTTTTTTTTTTTTAAAGACTTTATTTATTTGAGAGAGAATGAGATAGAGAGAGAGCATGAGAGGGCGGAGGGTCAGAAGGAGAAGCAGACTCCCTGCTGAGCAGGGAGCCTGATGCGGGACTCGATCCCGGGACTCCAGGATCATGACCTGAACCGAAGGCAGTCGCTTAACCAACTGAGCCACCCAGGCACCCGGCAGGCTGTCTTTTTTTATAATTACTGTGTCATGGGTTTCAAATCTTGACAGGGAAGGCTTGACATTATCTCAATTTTGATCACATACAAAGCTTGCTGTGCTCATTCTGGTTGATCACTGATCTGAATTTGGCATATCTTTGATTTTTAAGACTTGTATGCACATTTTTCATCTAAAGCCTTTTGTACTGGATAGGGCACTATGATATGTAAATGTATTTTCATTCGAATGTCAGAGGCTTATGGACTTTAATATTCAGTACTATGTCAGGAACATGCATCTGCTGTAGATACTCAGAATGGATATGATTATAATTTGGATGTCCTATAGCTATGCATGATTTGTGGTAACAACTCATGAAATCACTGTGTTGATAATTATCATTGATCTTAAAAGTTAAAGTAGAATCGTGTATTACCTAAAGGCATGAATAAGACAGCCCTGAGTTTGATTCCTGGTTTCTCCATGTATTAGCTATGTGACCTTGGGCTGATTACTTAATTTCTCCGAGTTTTGGTTTTCTCATTTGCAAAATGAGGATAATGAGTGTATCTATTCTTAAGATTGTTGTGAAAGGTAAATTCAATAGAAGTAATGATGGGGGGTGGGGCTCCTGGGTGGTTCAGTCCATTAAGCGCCTGCCTTCAGCTCAGGTCATGATCCTAGGGTCCTGGGATGGAGCTCTGCATCTGATCCCCTGCTCTGCGGGGAGCCTGCTTCTCCCTCTCCCTCTGCCATTCCCCCTACTTGTGCTCTCTGGCTCTCTCTATCTCTCTGTCAAATGAATAAATAAAATCTTTTTATAAAATAAAAATAAAATAAAATAAAATAAAAATAAAGGTAATGATGGCACACAGCCCAGTACAAAGTAAGTCATCAACAAATGCTGGCTATTAGTAGTATTAGGACCAGTTATTCAGCTCCTAGTTAGAGAACTTTGTCGTGAAAGGAGAGGTAGGGGGAGATTTAGTAAACACCTCAGGATTGAAACCCAGGCAAAAAGAACTGAAAAAAAAAAAAAATTTTTTTTTTTTAAATAGCAGTTCTATAAATAAATGAGTATCCAATCGGAATTTTCCTTCAAATTTGCTGAGTTGTTGGTGAGTCTATACAGCCTGGTTCCAGCTGACCAGATTCTGAAGCCAGTCTGGTCTTTAGTGACACTCATCTGGTTCAGGCTATAATTACATTCCTCTGAGACAGAAGCCCCAAAGAGTGGGCAAATGCACACTAATTTGGGAATTCCAGTTAAGAGAAGCAAAAACACACACACATGCAGCTCACAGAATTTTTATTCACTGATAAGTTAAAGTGACAGGAGAACAATTTGTCCGAAATAAGGATGTGGGCCATGTTGACACCCCTTGTTACCCCTATGCAAGTTATTTCCTTCAGTGTCCAGAGCCGGAGCCTTGTATCTTAATGTGAAGGTCCGTGGGAGAAAGAATCATTACTTAGGGGAAATGACCTTTGCCTAGTTGTGTCTGCGACAGGGAGTCTCAGATCCTGTCCCTGTCCAATCAGGACAGCATTCAGTGGTGCACACAGGTAAACAAGCCAAAATATACCTCACCCAAAATAGCTCCTGCGAGGATACCCTGCAGCTCTGTGTGAGGCCAGGAGGCTGGCCTGGTTTGGATGCTGGCTGGGGGGCCAGTGCTGGGCTGGCCTGCGTCCTAAGGAAGCAGGGAGGGTGCAGGAGACCATGTTTGTGATCTGACAGCAGTCACTGTTCCCTTTCCCAGGAGATCTCGGACAGTTTCAGACGCTCCTCTCCCCTCCTCCATGCCAAATACATTCATCTCCCTATCCTCAGTGGAGGTTTTAGTTTTTCTTTCCCTTTGAAGAGAAACAAGCAGAGGAAGCAAATGTAATGTCACAGCAAGCAGTCCTTGGCAAGCCTTGCTATAGGCGTCCATTCAGAGGTTGTATTTCATCAGACTATCATTTTCTCTCATTCACCCAAACCACTATTCCCCCAAGAGGCCATTTTCTGTGGGGTTGAAAACTCTCATGTTCACTGTGAGGCTAGAACGAGCACAGGGAGAGAAGTCATGAATATAATCAACTGGCTTCCAGCTCAGCGAGTGCACTAACACCCCACTGTAGTCTGCACAGAAGGCAGAAAGCACAAGCCCTCCTCCAGTGAAAGTGGGATTGGAGACAACTCCATACTGTTAGCCCTTGGATGCATACCCTCTTTCCTTCCGAGATTTATCTCCTGAGGGACCCCGGCTGCGTCAGCCACGCCTCAGGATCTCTGAGGGCGATAGACTAGGGAAGCCATTGGTACCACCTCTTTGATTTACTAGGCAAATTACTTCTCTAAGCCCCACTTTGTCATCTGTAAAATGAAGACAATAGGCCGTGCCTTCACTGATCTCTAATGTTGTCAGTGTAGATGAATGTGTGCTATGAAATGAGACACAAACATAAGGACTGAATCACTTATCATTTGGCATTATGACTGACAAATGTTCGAGGCCCATTGATAGACAAAGTTCTACATCTAGAAGCCCACAAATCAAGCCACCATCTATATCCACGCCATCACATGGACAACTTACATGGATGGGTTTTAGTTTCATTCTTAGGTGTTATCATCTCTTTTGAGTAGAAGCTATTTTTGGTTCTAGAGATAAGGAAAAACTGAGACTTCGATGAACTCAGTGACATGCTCAAGGAACCCAAAAAGTTAGCAGTGATGAAACATGAACTCAGGTTATAAGACAAAAGCTCTTTCTACTACCCTACGGTGTTGGAGCAGAAACAGGTTTACCATACATGCTAAAATCCTAGGCTCTAGGTATAGCCCCATCCCACTTCACAGGAGGACTCTGTAATGTTGGTTCTTACTAATGATGGTAGGCTACATTTTAGAACTTGCATTTGCTTCTGGAAGAACCACCAGCTACCAAGAAAGATGCCTAGGGCTTTGTTTTACCAGGAACCCTCCTTGACCTCTTTGAGCCACTTCCCCATTTTCCTTCTTCCTGTCACTATCACCTACTTTAAATTTAGTTCTCTTTTTCTACTGTTTCCTGTCCATACATTCAATTCTTAACTCCCTCCAAGCCCTAGTGAACTCTATTAGAACTTGAGTTTTCTTCAGTTCCCTTCTGATTCCCTATTTCTGTGGCTACAGTGTAACATACCATTTTGGCCAGTCTTCATGGCGTCTGAGAGCTTTGTGTCTCCCCAAGTGACCCCCCCGGCATGGTGGCCAGGCTCATGCCTGATGCTTCATGCAAATGCTACAGTAGGCAGACCGTGAAGTTATAACAGAAAAAGTGCAAGAAATGTGGAAATGCAGTTTAATGGCTTTGAGGAACTATGAGATATTTCTAAGGGCCAGTGTTTTCCATTCTGGGCACAGGCAAACCCACCAGCCAAAGTGACTCCTCTTTCTTACACTAGCCTCTATTGTTTGAAGCAGTAATCATGCCTCCTGCTTGTTCCAGGTTCCGATGGAGGAGGCGGTTGCTGGTGATCTCTGCCCCTAATGATGAAGACTGGGCCTATTCACAGCAGCTCTCGGCTCTCAGTGGCCAGGCCTGCAATTTTGGTGAGTGGGAAGCCTCGTCATCACTGTTTTCCCATACCACTCTCTTTCTGGTCAATTCTAGAATGGAACATAGAAGCTTAGATCATCCAAATATTCCTCAGTCCAGACTGGAGATTCCCAGACACTTACTCAGTTGTACTGAGTATAAAGTTGCTTTCAGACTGGAGCCTTAGTCAACTGGAGTTTCTTTGTTTTTGTTTTTGTTTTTCTCAATATTCTCCCCTCTGGGTTTCTTCACTGAAGTGTTTGAAAATACCTACTGTTTTACTTTGAGTGATCTGTATTATGTGTATTATGTGCCTTCTTTTTTTTTTTTTTTTTAACTTGTCTCAACATCATAAAACTCAGGTATTATCATTTACTTAGGTAATACTTAGCTACAAACACTGGACCTTTCTCCATAGATTAAATGTCTTTTGTAAAACAGGAATGGCTTTGAGAAATAATATATTAATGGAAGCATACTGTACTATATTGCCATTCCCTTAAAAAGGATTTTGATCTATAATTGGGCACCAAAGACAGCGAGATTTATTAAACAGAATCTTATTTTTAGGACAAGTAGGTCAAAGAGAAACATAATTTATTATTTATTTTTTATAGTGAACTGCTCAGTATTTTGAAGACTAACATTTGCTTTCTTTACCAAAATTACTATCCTAGTGGCCTATAGTATCATTTTGAATATGGGCACATAGAATGGAAAATGCATAGTACATAGAACATTAAGTGCCATGGTGAATGGAGGAGCTAAGGGCAGTTTCAAAAGTGGAATTCACAGTTGGAATCTCATTTAAAATGCACTTCTACAGAGGAAGAATTTGACAATCATGGGGTGGGGGGGTGGGGGTAGCTAGAAGCCACAGATTTTAAAAATTCCATTCCTAACTGGAACACAGGTGAATCAGCATTATTTTGATCCTTCTACTAGGAAGAAGAATCATTTGTTAGTTATAGAACTGTGCTTGATTTATAAAAAGATGGCCGTATAAGTTTTGTAAAGCATTAACAGAGCCTGGGGCCTTACTATGACCCGGTATCTTAAATTACAAATACATTTCAGTTTTAAGATGTAAAATAATAACTCAAAAGCAGGCAGAAAATAAGCTCATAACAGTAAGAACAACTAGAAAATTCATGAGTTTTTATGTATAGTCCTTATTATCAAAGTTAATAATTAAGACTTTATATCAATATAAAGGTGTTTTTTTTTGTATTTTTAAGCATATTTTAAATTATTTGTAGCCACCAATGTTGCTAGGTAAGACAGAAGTTCTTAGAGAAGTTAATGGCCCTTCACAATAAGAATATCAATAAAATCATGCCTTGTTAATTTTCTAAAGACAGTTTTGGAACAGTTATTAAGTGGTGTTTCATTTAATCTCTGCACACAGAACCTAAATCACATTAGTGCAAGCAAACCCTTTTGTAATATACAGGAAATGTAAACAGGTCCTATTTTCTGGGAATAATTAAATTCAGGATCTTCCCTTTTGAAAAACATGACTCAACAACGTGGAGAACAGAATGCTTCACTTCTCTGGGAGAAGAGCAAGACCACAAACTTTTTTTTTTTTTTTTTTTGGAATAGCCTTTTGCTTGGATTTTAGCTCCTCCTTAAAACAGCCCCTGCCATGACAACTGTCAGTTTTCTCCTCTGAACAAAAAACTCCATCAATATTCATATTATTAGTCCCAAGTTATGACCCTGCCTAGGTTGGCATTTTGTCTAACACCATGAAATCTTGGTATGATGAACTGACAGCCCTCTTGTCCTCCAATGTTTTTTTCTCCTGAATCCCTTCCTGTGCACTTCATCCTCAAAAGAATTCCAACAAGCTACCAAGGCATGACCTCTCCTTTCCTGAAACTTTAGCTGAATGCGGCAAGCACACTGTGCTTGCTTAAGTGCTTCTCCTTTGAATCCTCTAAATAAGTGATAAGAACCTGCCCTTTACACTGACAAACCTTTGTGCAAGAAAGCCAGAACTATTCCTTTAACAATCAAAACAGATGGGTTCTGCTGTCTTTTCTCCTAGATACAGTTGAATTATCCGTGTAAGCTGTTATAACCTCAGGCATGACTTTTTTCAGCACACAAATCAGCTCAGATCATCCCAGATATTTTAATGTTCCAATGGCTTCATTTTTGTTTTGTTATTTAATAGAACCACAGTTTAAGAGCAAATTCTTCTATTTCCATCTACAAACAAAACAAAACAAAACACCACATCTGACCCTGTTGTTAATCCTAAATCTACAATTGGTCTTTTTCGAGGTTTTAAAAGTATGTGATTATTATTTTTATAGCAAAATAATCCATCAGGTTATGTTCTATGTTCTTTTTAATGTAGAGATTTCTAATTGTCAAACATCGGCCTTTGGAGGTAAAACATGATTTACCAATTTTATGGTTTTCTTTTTTCTTTCAGGTCTGCGCCACATAACCATTCTGAAACTTTTAGGGGTTGGAGAGGAAGTTGGGGGAGTTTTAGAACTGTTCCCAATTAATGGTAAAGTGCTGTTATTTTAGAACATTATGAACTACTGTTAAGTTCAATTAAATTATATTAAACTGTATGCAAGCAGTGGGTGTACCTCTAAGGTGAACACAGTTCACTGAACTCACCCCACCTTGTGCATGTGCATGCAAACGGGAAATAGAGTGCAATCACTATTATTGTTTTTAATATAAAATCATTCATAAGTGACAGTAAAAGTATCCATTTTTTTTTTAACTAGAATAATGCTTTTTGTCTGCATAGGACTTTATGATTTACAAAGCATTTTTATCTGTGCCATCTCATTTAATTCCCACAATAATTTTAGGAAGCACCTGGGTCATATCTTACTGATTCCCTTTTAATACATGAGGATCAATACTGAAAGGCTCAGAGAAGCTGAAAGAAAATGACTAGTGACTCAAGTTTTCAGAAAGCAAATCAGTTCTTCCTTGCAAGATCAAGTTCTTCACAAGAGATAAAGTGCATAAACTCCCTGGCACACAAAGCATCAGCACCCTCCCCCTTCCCCTTCTCCTTTTCACTGACCATAATAGTTTAAATACATGTAATCTACATCTTGCATAATTGGTATTTTTCCCTTTGAAAATGAAATAAGTGTTCTGTTATACAAAAAAGTATCAAAAGGAAAGCCATATTTGCAAAGAAGTAACTAAGCTAATTGGAAATAAACTTAGAAATATAAACAATATAATCTCTGTTCGTGACAACTTGAAAGAAGTTGATCTTGCCAGAATTAAATTAAAGGACTGGTTTTATATTTTGTAACATTCCTATAAAAGAGACATCACATGTCCTAAAGTTTGACACTAATAGTGTTGCAGAACATCAGGGACATTTAATTTCTAGTGGAAAAACCCAGCAACCTTCTTTAATTGGATTTTGAACCAAAGGACTCATGGGTACTTTCTCTATTCTCATAGTGATTTCTTCTCATTTTGATGTTTGCTCGAGGGGTGACTTCAATCCCCTAACAACAACTTTTCTAACCCTGTTCTAGGGAGTTCTGTTGTGGAGCGAGAAGACATACCAGCCCATTTGGTGAAAGACATCCGGAACTATTTTCAAGTGAGCCCAGAGTACTTCTCCATGCTTCTAGTTGGAAAAGATGGAAATGTCAAATCCTGGTATCCTTCTCCAATGTGGTCCATGGTGATTGTGTATGATTTAATTGATTCGATGCAACTAAGGAGACAGGAAATGGCCATTCAGCAGTCACTGGGGATGCGCTGCCCAGAAGATGAGTATGCAGGCTACGGTTACCATGGCTACCACCAAGGATACCAGGATGGTTACCAGGATGACTACCGTCATCATGAGAGTTACCACCATGGATACCCTTACTGAACAGAAACACGTAACCTTAGTCCCAGCCAGTTTCCCCTGCAGCTGTTAAAGCCACAAGTGGCCAGCTATGTAAAGGAGTTTTTCCACACTGCCTACATCCCCTGGCTTTTTCTTTCTGTGTTCTTCCAAAATTAAATAAATAGCAAACTTTTGCCTACTCATGAGTTGTTATTGAAACCTTAAATCATAAAGATGTTTAAGAGAATCGTTTCTTTCTCTAACTGGAGGGGATCTGGTGCTGAATGGATATTTCCCTCTTCTTATATGATAGCCATTATTTAGAATACAAAATTCTATGTAGAAGTATTTATACCTCTCATTTATTTTTTAAAAAGTATTCATTGGTAAGTAAAACTATGATTGTTAAAGAAAATTAAAGATCACAGCACAGATGTTTTCAGGAAACATCTGAACACATGTAACAAAGGAAACACCTTCTTAACACTTTTGGAAATGTCAGTCTAAAAATGATTGAGATGGCTTTGCTTTATATTGTGAGATTCTTTCATAAAGCTTGATACCATAGGAGTCCAATGATATTGGCCACCAAAGCCAGGAAAAACACCAAACCCAGCTTTGCTATCATAGCCATTTTCTGCCCTGTTTCTCTTATTTTATTGTACTTTCAGAGACAGATCAGAGGGCCAGGAAAAGGAATCCCTAAATCATCACCAGAATCTGGCATTGCAACCAGAGGTGATACTTCCAGAATTTTAGCAGGTGCCATGGAATTCCTGGCACAGAAAAGCTTGACCCCTCACACTTGACACCCCTGTACTTACTAGTTAATGGACTTATTACCATGCTGGCATCTTATATAAGAAATTGACAAAAAAGGAGAGTATATCCAAGGGTTCTTTCTGTTTTCAGAGGTAAATGTTACTAAGTTACAATGGATAGAAGTGTAGCTGGAGTGCAAAAAACAATATTTATCTTTGAAAAAGAGCATTTATTTTTTAGATATGGCAATTCAAACTAAACTATGCTCCCTCCCTCTTTCCCTTCCCTCTTTTTTTTAACAAACACCAAGTAATATTACCAACTAATATCTATGAACTTGCCCTGGGCTGTCAGTCCAATTCCCAGGCATTTAGCATCTTAACCGTGCCAGCCTCTATCGATAATTCTTATTTTTTGTCCCTCTTATTAATAATTAATGCTCTTGGTATTGATTATTAACTCTAATGAGCATAGTTACTAATAACTGCATTCAGACCACATGTGAATACTAGTTATTAACTTATCTGTGCCTATTTGCACAAATTTGTCTTTACATCATCTGGACTTGGTTATACATAATTATATTGTAAAAGTGGAATTTGTAGCTCAATAAACTTGAGAAATCCCTTATTTTGCCCTTCATTCTCCATGAAGACCATTCATTCTTACCTGTTTTATAGGCAAATGAGGTCCAGACAATTCAAGTGACTTTAGAACACAGTTCTCTTATTGTGTAAACTATGCTTCCACCCCTAACCCCTCCCATGGTGAAAAGCTTTCTTCCTCTCTCCTTTTAGAACAGTCTATACCAGCTGCTCAAAGTGTGCAGGTGGGAGAACCAGGATGTTGTAATTGCTCTTAAATATTTGCCAAGGTGATGGCTAGCTTAAAATCACCAGTTAAGAAATGGAGTTCTTTACCATTGCTTCTGAAATTACGCAGGGACGATTTCTAAGTAAGGGGCCCAAAGAGTCTCAATTTCAGGAAATATAATAATGAGTAAGTTTCATCTCCCAAGGAAACCAATTAGATAATAATTGAAAATTTACTTATAGAATAATATTAGTAAAGTTCTAGCTGCCCACAACCAAAGAAAGACAACACTTTCTCATAACCTGAGATTACTTTTCACTGGCACTGAAATCATTAGTAATGTATCTGAACTCTCTTTCCTCCTGTGAGTGGGCCAAGAAGCCGTGAATCATCCATTTGCAGTGCTGTAGAATAAGCCATAGCTCAGCAAAGGGACTGAGACACATGCAGAGGAAAATGCCATTGGTAAATGTCCTCAAATCCTATAATGTGGAAAAACACAAAGTACATTTCAGTAAATGGGAAGATTAGACAATGAGCTCACCTGAATCTGTGTCTTCTGGGAGTACAGGTCGGGTCATTTGTAATCTGGGTATTTTGTTTTGTTTTGTTTTGTTTTTTAATGAAAGTGCTTCCTTCCAAACAATAGCAACAAAAAAGACATAGTTTTTGAGAATTATTATGGAATTACGGTATGCAGAAAGAAAAACACCCAGGAGAGTGAGGGAAACAAAGTTGCTGGTTGTCACAATGCACTTCCATGAATTTCCAGGAATTGTTTTTCACTGGAGAAATTGCAGAGCTCTGGGATTTCACTGGAGAAATTGCAGGGCAGAGAGATCCTTCCACAGAGGCAGAGGGAGGCAGTCCAGACACAGTGGAATCGGTAGAACCCAGCTGGTCTCATTTTCTGGACTATAGTTAACATTGAAGTTCACACCTTCTCAACTTCTAGAGCCTTGGTGATAAAAACAACTCAAGACCAGGGGCAATGATGGCTCAATGAGCACCAATTGATGATCTCAGTATTCAATAATGTATGGAAATTCCAGAAAAAGAGAAGCTTCTTGAAAAGGACCCCTGTCTGTTTTTCTGTCACCACTAACTCCCCTTTCCCTGCAGGATTGCTTTCCTTGCCTTCTTTCTCCTCCTTGGCTGCTCTGTACTTAATGGTTTGGGGGGTGCAGATAGTGGGGTGTGGTTGATGAGTACTCTGAACTTCATGACAAAATTAAGCACAGTTAAATGCTAACTATGTCTCTTCAGTTCTCTCAAAGTTGGTGCAAATCTCCCAAAGCCAAACTTTCTCTTAGTTTTGTACATGTTATTAAGAACTCAGGAACCAAGGTTAGGGCAGTGAGAGGCAAAGGGTCAGGTGTCATAGAATTCAAGGGTGCCATAAAATGGCCACCCGACTTGGGAAAATAGCTGGTCCTCCCTCTGCCACAGACTGACCTGTGTGACCTGAGGTGAGTCATTTTACCTTTGGGACTCAGTACCTCATCTACAAAATGAGAGAGTAGGAATAGATATCTAAGTTATCATCTAACTCCATGGTATTTATGAATCTTTCTTGGCCATAGGGAGAAGGATACTAAACTCAGAGGTTTCCTCTGATTGAACTAATGTTAAATTTATAGAGAACCCAGACTTCATAGTTCAGATTCCAGTTCCAGGTTTTTATGGGAATGGGGAAATGTATTGAATAACTTCTTTCCAATATGGTGCACTGCTGCAGCTGGACCCAATGGGCTCATAACCTCTAACACAGAAACCCTCATCATCTCCATACAGCTAGACTGGAGCTTCCAATGACATTCAGGCTGGCAAAGACTGAGCATCCTGAACACTGATGAAGTCCCTCCGACAAGGCATATGCTTGCTCTCCAACACAACTGCCTAATGTGGCGACCACAGGCATCACCTCTCTGATATCCTGAAGCCTGGACAAACTGGGATGTCCCTGGACAGGCTGCAGAGAACTTAAATAATAGCACTTTCCTTCTAGAAAGAGTGATTCCCCATTCCTCCAATCTATGGGTTGATACATGTGGCAAAGCTGCTGCGTGAAGGGAGGGGGTGATTTCGAGTAAGTAAAACTGACCCTGGGCAAAATTTTCTTTGGCTTTCTACCTCCTCCATAAGAATCTTTTTCCTCTCTCCTGGGCCTTTTCCCTTTTCCAGCCACTTTCCCATGACCCATTCTGGCTCAGAGATGGCTACAACTGATTAGGCATAACTGATAGGCTAAAGGTGCCACCCTTTTCAAGAATATCTACAATGCAAAGGGAAATCCTTGAGGGAGAGAGATAGGGAACAAACCACTTCTGGAAGATTGCCAATCCCTGGAAGCAAGCCTCGCTTTCCTTCCCAAAAATGTTAGAGAAAGAATAATTTCCTCCTGCAGACTTCACCGCCATTCCATTTGTCTCCTTCAGTGCTCTTTTCTATCTTTAGCTTACTTCTTTGTGATGAACACTCTTTAGAGAGCCAAAGTAGGGTAGGGTAGGCAGAGGCTGGAATACTCCCAAATTTGGCAAGACCTGATCCACAACAGCTGAAAGCCTTGATGTATGCAAAGAACCATCTGGTCATTCTGGTTCTTAATCCAAGACACTAGCTTGTAGATTAGACTCAAGTTATATGGTGACTCAAACATTTATAGTATTTATACTATTTTCTGTGTAGTCTCCTAGAAACCAGGAATATAAAACTGGAAAAAAAAAATTTCCCTGCACAGAAGCTCATAGACTAGTTGAGAATAGTCATATGCACAGTTAATTATAAAATACTGTGCATGGATAATCAATATTGGGTCCTCATGTGGGGGGGGTATGGGATGCAGAGGGAACCAAGGAGAGATGAGTGGTGATAGTTCTTCAGTCTTTTGCAGTCTAGAATTATAAACTGCTCTTCCTGTCAAGTCCACATGACGTGAGCAAGTGCCTCATATTGACTCCATTGTCACCATGGTCAAGGGCTTTGGATACTCACAGTGCAAGCACTGCCTCTCCTGGGAACTTCTTCCCTCTCCCAGATTTAAGAAGTTGTCTAGATATCCATGGGAAGATGGTGGCATTAATTCATTTGTAAACACCACTTTCCCTGAAATAAACCAAAATGGACAAAAAGTAGTGAATTTATAGAAGAAAACTTCATCAAAATTGAAACTAGGGAATGGCCTTAATCTTATAGCACGAACTCTGAGTAATGTGTGCCTATTTACCATCCCCAACTTGGGGAGACTTGGCAAGAGGAAAGATAAGGAAAACACTTGTAGTCCATTGCCTATGCAAGGGTCAGCTGTTGGGAGGCCAAAGATAGGTGACATGGCTGTGTCCTTACGTTCCCCCTTCTGACTCATCTAGCTTCCTAATTGGAGAAAGGAGGCTTGGGGGTGAGGGTGTATATATGGAGGACAGAGTTGGTTTACAGCTAGGCTTGGAAATGCTTTATCTTTATCTCTGGGGAGATAAGGATGTCTGGTTTTTGACCCTTGGCCAAGATTACAGCAGTGGGATTTATGATGTGCTGTTTAAAGTCTGGAACTACTCTGGTGATCCCTAGGGTCAGTTTCTTTAATGATGGTTTCCAACTGGCCTAAGGATTAAGTAAATCCAGCTG